AAGGACAATGCCACTGGGTTTTGATCCTACTTCATGTTCTGGCTTTGTGGGAGCCTAGCCAGTTTGGATGTCCACCTTCCTAGACCAGGATGGAGCGGGGAGGACTTTGGACTTTCCACAGGGCAGGGAACCCTGACTGCCCCTCAGACTGGAGAGGGAGGGGGAGAGGTGTGGGGGGAGGGGGAGAGGAGAAGGAGGAGGGGGGAAAAGGGAGACGGGGAGGGAAATGGGAGGCGGGGAGGAGGCGGAAAAAAATTTTTTTCAATAAAAAATTATATTAAAAAAAAACCTGAGAGAGCTTAAAAAGGAACTATAGACACACAAAAAAAAAACAGAGTTTAACACAGCTTCTTGCTGCTTGCTGGTAGCATGCTGCAGCTCCTTTAAGAGATGTCTTACTGACTCAGTGGTAGCAGAAAATAAAAAACCCTGCATGGTTTCAAGATGGTGGCTTTGGCCCCTTACAACAAGTGTGGTTCATGACCTTGAAGACATAGCTCTAGATAGAATCTGACTCAATGTTCACATGCAGTTGTTTTTTGTTTGTTTTATTGTTGTTGATGGGGGCAGGGTCTCATGTAGCCCAGGTTAGCTTCAAACCCATTATGCAATCGAGGATGACCTTCATCCTCTTGCCTCCACCTTCCATAGGCTAGGATTACCACAGCAATTTTTATGCTGGCCCAGGGATCCACTTTAGGGCTTTGTGCATCTTAGGCAAGCACCATACCAACTAAATCTCTAGCCTATAAGATTTGTTTGGTTTTGTTTGTTTGATTGTTTTGGGGTTGTTTTTGTTTTTAAGAAAGACCCTTAGCACATTTTCCCCTTTAGAAAGTAAGGCAGCGTGAGACTAGAAAAAGAAAGAAATGGAGAGGGCAGGGATGGAACCTGAGGTCTGAGGACAATAGAACAGGAAAAAAACTGATGTTGTTCCTCAGTCCCTGACCAAAGACCAGGAAATAACAGGGATAATTGCAGAGGGTTGAAATGCAGCCAAAGACCCATGAAGGGCAGGCGAGAATTCAGGTAAAAGAGGTAAATTTGCTGTTTGGTTTGCTCATGTGTCTGGGGTCTGCTGCTGTGGGGGCGCTCAGAAATGTGTATGATCCACCCTGACTGAAGGTCAGAGAGTGTAAGCCTATTCCTGCTCCTCCAAGGATATAACAGGAGGTTTGACCCAGGGAGTGGCTGCCTACAGGATGCAGGTCTAAGGTATAGTCGCTGCATGCCCTGCATAAACAACAGAACTCAGGATATAGTGGCTTAATGCTTCAAGTATTGAAGCAAGTATTTGCTCTGTTTATTCTTTGTGTCATGTTGAAGTAGTTTTTTGCCTTCTTCCCCCCTTTTTGGATTGTGGTATATAAGCATATGGAAAATAAATGCAGACATATTCAGTATTCACTGGATTGCCCTTCCAGTTCACACTATCAAAGGGATGCTTTGGAGAAACAGAAGCACATGACATCATAAAAACATAACAAAACAAACCAACAAACCAGCCAACTAACCAACAAAAACACAAAACAAAACAAAACAAAAAAACCCAGCTTGAATCCTGTTGCATATTCCCTGGGGACTGTATTTCTCATTTGTTTTTAACATTTCCACCTCATCCCTCTCAACCTGAAATAGCTCTCTGCTGACAGGAGAGGACCAGTGATGCGGCATAACCACACACTAAGCCTACACATAGATGATGATCTACTGAGTGAAGACTCAAACTGCTCAGATAGGGGCAAAGCAACTCCAGCATTAAAATTTAGAAGAGGCCTGGCATGGTGGTGCACGCCTTTGATCCCAGCACTAGGGAGGCAGAGGCAGGGGGATGTCTGTGGGTTCAAGGCCAGCCTTGTCTATATAGCAAGCTCTTGGCTATCCAGAGCTACATAGTGGGATCCTGTCTCTACCTAAACAAAAATTCAGAAGAATGGATTTGATAAAGTTCTGAGCTCTGGCTGGCCCTGCTCAGCTCAAATTCTCCTGGTTGTATCACTCAATGCCCTAAGAATCCACAGCATACCTTTGTTAGATCATAGATAAGTAAAATGACCAGCGATTTGATGTAAACTTACTCAGGTTTCTCTGTTCTGAGTAATTCGGTGCTTTATTAACTTTAGTTTGTAAAAGTGTATCAAAGACAAGCATGGTGGTACATGCTTGTAGTTTCCAGCACTGGATCAAGAATTCAGATTCAGGACTATCCTTGAATTCAAGGCTACATATCAAGTTTGAGGCCAGCCTGGGTTACATAAGACCCTGTCTCAAAAGAACAAAATAATGTATAGTCACTAACTGTGGCATACCATACTAATACAAGATGTGAATAAAGGAGAGTTGAGAATGGCCATGTGAGAACTCTATAATTTTTCAACTTTCCTATAAATTAAAACCCATTCTAAACAAAACACTCATTTAGAAGAAGAAAATCTTGGCTAGAACTGACCAGTCTACCAAGATCTGTCCCCACTGTCAATGGAAGCACACTGGGCTGTTCTATGTCTAGTGTGCTAGGAAACACCCAGAGGGACTTCTTAGGTGCCTCTTAGCCATTCCTCCATTTCTGAAGCAATGTTTTCCTAGAGCCATTCTTGCCAACCAGCTCAAAACTCAGAAAGCAGACATCAGAGTTTGCATCTCAGAGTGAGGCATGGTTGACAAAACCTGGAAGAACAAATGAACCAGGAGCCATGTCAGTCAAAATGTTATGATTGAATTAAGGCCATGCAGACAAGGGCAGTAATGGGTTAGCACTCAGAAGGAAACAGGGAAGAGAAACCTCTCTACCCCACAGACCAAGGATCTAACCGCGACCTTGGGTTTTTAAAAAAGTACCTGGGTTCGGTTCCCGGTCAGGGAACAAAAAAAAAAAAAAAAAAAAAAAAAAAAAGTACCTGGGTTCTAAACCTAGGAAATCTACTTTCAAAACACTAGTAGCCACCAAATCACATGGACCTGCCCCTTTCAGTATTGGCCCAATACTGAGATGTCAGGATGAGCAGAACAGATAAAGGAAAAGCTCAATGTAGCTAACTCCTCTACTTCTGCAATCATAGAACTTTGCAGGCCTGAGGCAGGAGGATTACAAAGTTAAAGCAATGCTGGCCTATATAGGAAGAACCTAGAAAAGCAAAGAGAAGGCAGGTGGGGGGGGGGTGGTGATGAGGATGAGGTTCTCTCTCTCTCTCTCTCTCTCTCTCTCTCTCTCTCTTTTTGTGTGTGTGTGTGTGTGTGTGTGTGTGTGTGTGTGTGTGTGTGTGTGTGAAGGAATCAGATCAGTGATTGGCTTGGAGCAGGGAATGGAAGGACTGACTACAAAGAGACATAAGGACATTCCTGAGGATAATGGAAATGTTTTATATCCCAAGCTGGGTGGTGTTTCCACAAGGAGACTCAAAGACAGCAGGAACAAGCTGGAAATTTTAGAAGGCACAAATGTGCCTAGCCTGGCAGAAGCACACTCAGGGGAGGGAGGATGTTGGACAGGGTCAGGGGATCAGGCAGTGGGCCTTGTGTGCTCTTGGTAGCTGGGGTTTTACTCTAGTGCCATTGGAAGATCCTGGGTGACTTCAAGCCTAGTTTGCTGGTCTCCTAAGGACTAAACCCTATCATGCATGTATTTTTTGTCCATGGACCTAGAACCTTGGTGAGGCCCTCCCATAGTTCCTCTGGTATGTGCTGATTACCTGTGTCCTTGGATCCCCACCTCCTACTTATAGCATACATCCACCACTTGGCCTTGCCCCTATGCAGCCACATAGGACCCCCCTCCCCGCCCCTGGACCAGCGTGGTTTTCCCTGCCTGCCTAGGTATTCCCTGCCTAGCTGCACAAGGTTCAGCATCAGGTACGCCCCTGGCCAGCACTAGCCACTTGACCTGAAGTGGCTCAGCGGCTCTGGCTATACGGCCGTCCCCCTTGGACTCTCTCCCATCCGACTTACCTTCACCCAGTGTCTGCTTGAGTAAGTCATGCTTGGCTTGCAGCTTGGTGATAAGGTTACTGCCATTCACATATTCTTTAAATTTCTGTAAAACACACAGGCATAAGGAAGCTAAAGGTCACACAACCAAGTGATGACAGGGTCTCTAGCTCTAACCTCCCCCTCATCACCCCAGCAGGGAAACCAAACAGATGTCAGGCTATCCAGGACCTGATATGGGGACAGGTAGGACTTTGTATCTGCTTTGCACTATTCCAAAGGTCTAATTCTTGGGGGTTCCTGGGCCATGTAGGCTGGGTTGGCACATAAGTGGCAGGAGAATATGGCTGCAGTGGAGGCTGCTTCTACTGTGATGACTGTGGGCAGCACAAGATGAAAGGCCCCTTAGGTCCCAGAAGCAGAGCTATAAGGAAGAGGCCCTGCAGCTGAGGCTAAGAGCTATGGGAACAGAGCTAAAGATGACCCTTTCTTCCAAATGAGTAAGAGCTATGCAGGCCACTAAGACACCTTGAATCAGAAGGCTTATCGCTGCACGGGGGGGGACGTGACTTTCTGGGCGAATGAAATAAAAAAGGGTGCACAGAAAATGCTTTGCCCCAAGTACCAGAAAGAGAGGGGTTAGGGGAGAGAAGAGCCTCTCTATGATCTTGGAGGACCAATGGAGAAAACTTGGTTGCACTTATTCTAAGGAAACAGAAGCCCAGAGTTGGGCTCCCTGTTGTCCAACGTGGTGTAGAGCCCTGCCAGTTTTTAGTGCCCCATTAGCTCCTCGAGGTAAGTTGAGAGTAGACTCAGGATGTCCCTCCAAACGTGGAGCAGAGGACCAGCTGCCGCATCACCAGTTGGAAGACTGTTAACATGCAAATCTCTGCTTCCTGATACCCAGATTCTAACCCTTATTTCTCACTTGGGGAGGAATCACAGAGGCCTTCAAGCTTCCAAGTTTCAAAGCCCTGCTGAGGAAGCTAGGAGATGAAGCACTTGGTTTTTAACTGAGTGCCCTGGCTCTGGGCAATGCATGCCTTTGCTTCATTCAGTAAGTTCTGACTTGCAGGCTGGTGGTGGAGGCTTCTAACAATACCATCCTCTGATTTCATCACATGTCTAAGGATTAATAAAAGCCACAGGTGAGGTGCACACATGAAAGGTTGATCATCCTCAAGTTGTGTTCTGTCCTCCAGAAACATACACACACACACACACATGCATACGTGTCAATATGTATATAAACCATATAAAGATACACAAACAGAAGCAAAAACAGAACATCTTCTGATCCTTGGTCAAAGACACTAGATTTCTTTAACTATGAGCAGGCTAAGCCCCTGCCCCTGCTTCCACTTCCAGACTTTGTTCTACTGCTGAAATGACTTTCTGTTTATCTCCACATGCACTCCCTGCTCCCTAGAGACAATAACTTCTCTTTGTCAACACAGTAGGCTTCTAACAGAAGCAGGAGGTGCCAGGAGTCATGAAGACTAGTTTTGTTTTCTTCCTTGATGAGGTCAAAGAATACTGATGGAAGAAATGAAGTATGTACAACCAGCTATTGGATTGTAGTAGGGTGTTGATTAAGGCTTACCAATTATAGAGTTGGATGATAGAACTGGGATAATTTGTGACAGATTCTATTTGCATAATCCGGTCGACATCAGCCTAGCTGTGTGCCTCTAGTGACCTGATTATGAGCCTTGGCAGTAGCCTGGCTCAGCCATGACATTTTCTTATTAGCAAACTTTAAGGTAATGGAGGCCATGCTCCCCGAATCTGTGTATCATACAAGATCTGAAAAGAGCATAGGGGTAAGGGATTAGATTAGGATGCTGAAAATCTGGACCTCTGATGTGAACCCATCAATAGGACATCTCAGTAAAGACCTACCTAAATCTTTACCTATGGGGCCTTTAAGAGGAGGGAGACCTGGCTTCATGCAGAGAAGAGTCAGCTGACACAACTCTTTTAAATTTTATTTTAAAAATGAAATAACAAGGTCCTGATGTGTTGGTGTATGTCTTCAGTGAATTTTACTGTAGACATTTGAAGAGAAAGCATTCAGAAGCTGCTCGGGTACTGAGGCTACTCAGAACCCAAGCTTATAAGGTAGGACTAGAAGAATCAGGGCACTCAGCCTGGAGGAAGGAAACCCGAGCTTCCTACAGCTTGGAAAAGGCTGTTAGGTAGCATCCTAACAGCTTTACTGTGGTGTTTTCATCAAAGAAAACAGCATCAAGTCCAAGAGTCAGGAATCCTAGGGTGGTAAATTTTTCCAAAGATAACAAGGAAAGCTTCATATCTGATGCTAACCGCAACTCAAGCAGGAGAAGTATTTGGGTAAACGAGAATTTTTTATTCTGGGCATCTGAGCAGAGTCCCTGTGAGATTTTGGTGGGATGTGCACCAGAAGTGAGTCACTTTGTAGCCCCAATCTCCATGTTCAATAAGCCGAATTTAAAATAAAGCCTCAATTCTCCTTCCCCACTATTCTCCGGGCCCCTGGCAAGAATGAAGGCCTGTAACTTGGAATTTCACAGGAGGGACTAGCAGCTCATGAATAACTTGCTTGAAATGGGATCCTCATTTTCAAAGCTCAGTCACCAATTTAAGACAATAGCATACACTTAACTCAAGGTTGTTACTTGGCCCCTTCACCATGCTCCTCTAACCCAGCGGTTCTCAGCCTTCCCAATGTTGTGACCCTTTAATCCAGTTCCTCATGTTGTGGTGACTCCCCCAACCATAACATTATTTCCATTGCTACTTCATAACTGTAATTTCGCTACTGTCATGAATCATAATGTAAATATCTGATCTGCAGGATGGTCTCAGAAGACCCCTGTGAAAGGGTTTTGTCTGACACCCCCAAAGGGGTCATGACCCACAGGTTGAGAACCACTGCTCTAACCCAACTGAATCAAACTCTCTTTGGTTCCTTCCAAAAGCTTTAGTGACCATCACTCAAGATTAAAGTTGATACCACCCACTGGTGAGCCACTTTCTGCATTTCAGAAAACTAAGCCAGGCAACCTAATGTCAAAATGCACATTAGGAGATTTATTTCATATTATTTTACTGGCTCTCTCTCTCATTCATTCAGGCTGCTTCCAAAGCCACGGGCAGGGGATCAGCAGTGAGCTCCGGGTCCCAGATGCCACTCACCGTGAAATAAAACATTTCTGTTTCCTGCTGGTTGGCTCTCCGTTTGGCGATGTTGATTTTGCTCATGTAGGTCTCAGAAGCGGCTGACTTGATGGACTCTGTAGATCGGCTGTGTTGGAAGGCATCAGAGACGTCGAAGTCCTCCACAGTCAGCATGTCCTGTAAGGTCTGCATGGTGGCATCTAGGGTTTTCCTAACCTAGGGAAAAACAGCACAAACATGTTTATTCTCATAATGCCTCTGATGACCACTAAGTCCTTTACCTGATAGTCACCTTGTTCTTTTACTTAATGTCTCTAGAAGGAAGGCAGGACAATATGGTTTTCTTATACTGACTTAGACAAATGAGGCAGATTAATCATTGGTCCAAGACCAAATAGCCGGCAGGGTAAGAAGCCAGAGTGTCCAATCTAAGGGCAGTTATTGGACTGTTTCTGTCTGAGGGACCTTGGGGATGTCATGAGAATAACGGAGTCAAGTTTCTAGGCTTATTTCTCTGGTCTGATTAGATAACCTAAAGGAGGTGTCCTGGGGGGGGGGGGTGGTCACTTGAACATGGAAATCAGCAGAAACGCTCTGGTGTCTCCTCTCATTTAGGAAGGAAGGGGGCATCTGGTGGTGGACAGTGGTCTGCTGGGAGACAGGACCTTGAGGAAGTCAGCTCATTGTTTACAGGGTCTAGTTAGGACTCCAGTTTCCATTCTGGGTCCAGTGAAATCACATATCACAGGGACTGCAAAAGCAAGGCATGAGGACCCTAGCCTCACAGAAGCACTCGGATGAGTGGGGTCTCAGTGACAGGCTCTATACTCCAGAGGTAGGGCAGTTCCAAAGGAATCACTGGCAGAAAACTGGATTCCATTTATTATGAGATCATCATCACTCAAAGTCTCTCTTATTGCTCCTCAGCTGAAATATCACCTCCTAATAGTGCAGGGCCCCTAGCACGTGCCATTCCTGGTCTAGTGTTTTTCCATTAGTCACTCATTGGTCTTCATGTTTTAATTTCTGGTGTTTTCTCATCAGAAAGAGGAAAACCTATGAGGCTGTGTTCCTTTGATTTATTCTCTATCTAAATAATGTTTAGCATATATTGTGTGAATACGTATTACATAAATAAATACTTGTCGAATAAACAAATGACTAAATCAAAATCAATTCTTTTTTCCAACACAGATTGCCGGAAGCTGATTCAAAGATAAGCATACCGAAGCCCATCCGCAGCCCACAGAGAGGCTATGTGCCTCGTTCGCCTCCCTGTGGCCCTGATTTCCATTTGAATTCCATTAACGGCATTATACATGTGAGCCATTTAAAATCCTTGTGGGGGGGAGGGGAGACAGAAGATAAACAGAAGGAAAGTAAGCCTTCTATCTCTCGAGCCAGGTTTAAAAGACAAGTCAGTTTGTCTTCTTGGGACCTTCCTGAACCTGCCTTAATTTGAGTTAGCTCTGTTCTAGCTCTGCCCTTTGTAGAGGACAGACATAACTGTCTCTACTGTCCACGATAGCCTGCGTGACATCTGAAGACAGTGGCCATATTTTCTCACCTCCACCATGACTACTTCTTGAGGATAAGTTTGTCACACAACCTTGGGTGGCACTGCCCAAATTCTGAGGTCTTTTCTCCAGGGCGCTAGGGTTGACTGGCATTCCTCTTCTGGGTGAGGTGTTAAGGTCTTAACAGGGCACTGTTTACCTGGTCTCTTCAGTCCACGTTAGGATGGACCCACCCAGTGTGAGGCTGTGCCACACTAGCAATATGGGGGAACACTGGGCTGTGAGACTGACCCAAATGGCTTAAAGTTCAAGATACATTTAGGGCAGCCTGAGCTAACTATTTCATTGATTAATTTTAAATACTTACTCTGATTTCTGATGATAATAATAGAAGCTTATTTCAGAGAATGAAGCAGAAAAGCACAAAGTCAATGGTAACCACCAGTCATCCTACAGCTAAGATGGAGTCAAGGGTCACCTTTTAAAACATTTTGCCTGCAGACTTTTCTCTATGCCTGCAAATCTGCAATCATCCTAAACATAGAGCCCCACTTCCTCCTGTTTCCTTTTCATCTGAGATCTTGCAAGCATCTTTGGGCCATTAAAGATTTTCAGTGCAGGTATGCTGTGTGGTTGTGTAGACTCTCACCAACGGACTATTGTTTCCTATGTATTCCAAGGCATGAGACTGGCCAGCACACGGTCCAGGGAACTAGACCCAGGGCAGCAGCTCACTCACCTCTTCGTTCTCAATCTTGAGAGTGGCCAGCCTGGACTGCAGCTGATGGTACCGCATAAGCAGCTCTGTCTGGACGGGCTGCTGTGCACTGACCTGGCAGACCTGCAGAGAGAAACTCTGTCATTGCAGCTGCATGGAGCCAGAGTGGAGGTTATCATTACCATTCCATCAGGAGCCCAGGACACAGGGCCAGCAAGGCAGAGCGACTGCCCCCAGGTCACCCATGTTGGTCACAGCCAAGGCAGTACCAGGTGGGAACTAGGGTCCTCTTAATCCAGAGTCTACCCTCTTGCTGTGGCCAGTGTGGCTTCTCAGTCACAACCTTCTAAATTCACATAGTAATTGCGGGCTTACAAAGACCTTTAACATAATCTTGGCAAGCCAAACCAATTAATTGCAAGTCAGGAAGTTGTGGAATGAAAGCAACGGCTTGAACAGCCAGTAGCAAGTACAATGAAGCAGTTGACAAGTGATTTTGTCACCACAGGAATGCATAAAGATATAGTAGAGAGACAACTTGGACGCTCACACTGTTGGTCTTCTGCATCCACAAGTTTCGTGGCCACAAGGACAGAAGTATACATAGGAAGAAGAAAAGCAAACACCCGGACTGAATGTGGGCGTGCATTTTCTTCCTCTCACCCCCCCCAAACAGTACAGGACAGTAACAATGCACAACATTTGCAGAGTGCTAGATATGCTAAGCAATGCAAAGAGAATTTAAGTCTGCAGGTGGCCGTGCCCAGGTTCTTTGTAACCACTGTGCTGTTTTATATAAGGTGCTCCGTACCCTTGGACTTGGACATCCCCCATACCCTGGAAGCAGTCACCCACAGATACCATGATCAGCTGAGCTATTCTTCTGGAGTCTTCTCTTCCAAAGGTGTTACCACCTATGGGCTAGGCTACCGGGCACACTGTGTGTTCTCACTCCTTCTAGGAACACAGCTAAGATCATGTAGAATAAAAAAGCTACTTGGTGAGTAGTTACCTACTGCTAACTGCTAACTAGGTAGCCAAACTTTACAGTAAACGGTTCCAGAATCTTCAGTTACAGGTGACAGACCAAAGGGCAGAAAGAAACAGGGGGATGCCCCAGAAGAGTGGTATCACCAAGTAGAAGTCCTCTCTTGTGCAAATGAAGGAAGCGGGCAAAGCCATATAGAGGGTGCAGTCATCTTCTAAACTGTCTCCTGTCCCTCCCCAGAAACAGATGTTACACATGGTCTAGCTGAGCTCCCTTTAGCCTTCCAAGACTGGCTGGTTCTTCCCTCCTGTGGTTCTGCACCCACCTGCCTCCCAGCTCCTAGAGGGAAAATGATCCAGGAAAGTATAGGGAGTTATCTTTTACATGGGACAGTTGACAGGGAGTTGTCTTCTACATGGGGACAGAGAACAGGAAGTCATCTTCTACATGGGGACAGTGGACAGTGTCATGCCATCTGCGCACTCAGTTTGTTTTCCTCTCCAGACCTCAGCAAGGGTCTGGGCAGCACAGGCAGGGAAGGAAAGTCAGTTGTCTGATTGTCAAAGGCTCATGGTGCTGTAGGGCATCAGATGAGGGCATCTAAGGTCTAAGGAAATAGGAGACTGTTTCTAGGCAGACTGGAGCATCCTTGAGGTCTCCTAAACACATCTAAGAGAGAGCCTAAGGAAAGCCAAGGCCCTACAGTTGGTGACATTAGCCAGCAAGACAAGAAGGCCATCTGAAGAAGCTCATGAATTAAGAGATGACCCTAGTCCTCTGTGGTAAATAAATGGCATATGTACTTGAGGCTTTTTTCCTCATCCCACAATGCTCTAGGAGCATGAGAGAGAACGGAAGTAGTTAGTAACTATGATGCTAACATGCCCTGCTCTCAAAGTCATGTACAGATGGCATTTGGAGGTGAGGCTGCCAGGAATTGATGAGGATTAGATGAGGTGATGAGGATAAGGACACCAATGGCTTTATGAGAAGTGGAAGAAAGGCAGACTAGAGCTGCATGCTTGCTCTGCCTTGCCGGGTGGTGACCACACCATGTCCCTATACAACAGGATGACCCTCATAAGATGCGAGCAGATGCTGGCACTCTGCTTTCGGACTCCCTAGCTTGCCTCCCTGGGAGCTGAAGAAGCTTCTATTCCAGCGCTGCTCAACCCTCCTAATGCTGCAACTTAAGACAGTTCTTCATGTTGGTGATCCTGCCAATCATAAAAATTATTTTGATGCTACTTCATAACTGTAATTTTGCTACTGTTAAGAATCACAATGTAAATAGTTTTGGAGATAGATGCTCAGTAAAGGGGTCATGATCCACACACAGGTTGAGAACCACTGCTCTAAATTCTTTCTAAGTTATTCAGGCTTAGGAAACTTCACACAGTAATGGAAACATAGACTCATAGAGAACCCAGGCAGGGTTCTGGCAGGAAGCCTACCTCGTCCCCCATGTGGGGCTGGAACTCGAACTTGAGCGGAGGGCAGAAGACCTGGCTGCACATGTCCATGACGGTGTGCTTGTCACTGCGGGAGTCCAGGTTGTCCACCGCATTCTCTATGACATCCAGGCCCTCGTGGCGAGAGGTTTCCAGGTTATATTCTGCTGAGAGGTAGGTCCGAAAGGTGCGGGCCAGACTGGCGTGAAAGCCCAAATCACAGCACTTGGGGAAAGGCAAGGACAAAAGGTACAGGTGAGAGCTGGAGTAGTGACCCATGGTCACCTTTCAGTCCACAGCGCTTTGGAGTCCTGAACAAACCATATCAAATCCCTCAGGGGGAGCTGAGAACTGAAATGTGGGTACCAACAGAGTTTCTTTCAGCTCCCCAGGCTCGCCACAATCTCTCATCTCTGGGCTTTCTCCATGCATGCTCCCTGTCTGGAATGCTCTCCATCAGCCATTTAGTTTATAGGCCATTTCCTTCTGGAAGTTTTCCTTGATGTTCTCCATACTGAGTTTTGGGCAGAGTTGCACATCCCCCCTTGGCAAGGGAACAGATGAAAAGGCTAAAAGCTAAAAAGGAAAGTTGAGAGCAAGGAAAGAGGGGGGTGACTTTATGCCACAGCAAGACTGAACAGACTGCCCCCCCTTCTCCCCAAGCCCTGACTTCCAGAATAGGATATACAGGGTTGGAGAATATGAATCCAGCAACCAGTACTGAACCTCTACTGAGCACCTACATGAATGGCTCCCCCATCTAACATAAAGGCGGGGGGGGGGGGACAAGCGAAACAGTCCCAGCTCTAATGTAGGTGACAGTCTCCCATCGCTGCCACTCACAACATCCTTCTTTAAGCCTGGTGTTCCCCAGGGAGCCCTGCACAGCCAGCTCCCCATAGACTCAGTGTTCTGCTCTTCGGTGATCAAACTCATTCCTCCCAGGAGAATTTCCCATACCAAGAGATTCTCTCTCTCTCTCTCTCTCTCTCTCTCTCTCTCTCTCTCTCTCTCTCTCTCTCTCTCTCTCTCTCTCTCTCTCTCTCTCTCTCTCTCTCTCTCTCTCTCTCTCTCTCTCTCTCTCTCTCGTGATTTTTCCCAAGGTGTACACCTAGCTGACTGGACCCAGGGGATCTGAATGAATGGCCCCCTCTCCTTCTCCAAACGAGCAGCCTCTAAGGGTGTGAACTGGGTACAGTTTCCTCCTATGTCTTCACACCCCACAGAGGCTCTGGTGCACAGGAGAGGACTTTGGAAGTTGGTATTGGATATCTGACTAATCAAGCTAGTGAGGGCAGTGGGATGGACCAGAACTCACTTCTATCTGTGGAAGGTATGATCATGAATTAGCTTGTACCCCAGCCACAGACACTTCCAGTCCTTCCCCTCTAGCAGGGTTACAAAAGCTTGGTCAGCTCACACCAGTTGAGGACCATGGCGAGCCCCATCATCCCCTAGCACACGAGATGTTTCAGCCTGCATGGAGCCCCACCCAGCAACCCAGGTTGCTCCCATCAATGAGATCAGACACATCTTCCTTTAGCGCACGAGATGTTTCAGCCTGCATGGAGCCCCACCCAGCAACCCAGGTTGCTCACATCAATGAGATCAGACACATCGTGGATGTAGTATTTGCTGATAGCTGCGTTGGTGGCTGCCAGATTCAGCAGGTAGTCATTGCGCGCCTTCGTGCACTTGAGTTTGTTCTCAGAATATTTGGCCTGCCTCTGGAGGGAGAAGAGCAAGATATCAAAGCCAAGCCAGCCGGAGGGAGGATCTACGGTCTCCATGGGAACCATCTGAGAGTGAGTCCCACCTCCCGGCTATGGGATGCTTCTGTGCCAAGGGAGCACTATTGAACCCCGAACTCAGCAATGCACCTTGTCTAACAGAGGTGAGGTCAGCAATGACATCATTTGCTACCCAGCAGCTTTCGGGGGAGGGGGTCTCTACCAGATGGGTTATAAAAAAAATACCCCACCCTCAGTGCCCTCCATGGACTTCCCAAGCTGTTTTCAATGCCCCAGAGGTCCCCCAAGACATGGCTTGTAAGCCCCACCTTTCTGCGTACTCCTCTTCTCTCACCTAACCTCCTTTGTTACCTTCAAGAAACCAAGTTCATTTCTGCCTTGAGTCCTTCAGAGTCCTTATAAGTCACATTCCTGAATCTCTACATGGTTTGTTCCTTGATGTCACTCAGGTTTTTTTTTTTTCTTTTGGTTTTTCGATACAGGGTTTCTCTGTGGCTTTGGAACCTGTCCTGGAACTAACTCTTGTAGACTAGGCTGGTCTCGAACTCACAGAGATCCTCCTGCCTCTCCCGAGTGCTGGAATTAAAGGCGTGCGCCACCACCGCCTGGCGTCACTCAGGTTCTTACCCAAAGTGATAGCCACACAAGGTACTGATGATGGTCTTGTCTGATATGTCTCACTTGCATCTCCCTCCCCTTGCCCTGTGATGTGTTCCTGAGCTTTGTTTATTTGTTGATCACTATTACTCCCACGAGAAAGTGAACTCCATGCAGGCAGGGTCATGACTTGCCTTGCTTGTGGGTGGTGGATCTGTGGCACCCAAAAAAATGGAGCAGCTAAAGTAAGTCTTGGGTCATTCTTAAGAAAGGGGGAAAGGGAGGGAGAAGAGAAGAAGAAAAGAAGGGAGCGAGTCTGGCTCTGAATGGCAGGAGGAATGGGGCGGAGTACCCAGAATTTTGGCAAAGCTGCTTTTGTCCTGGGCCAGTCCAAAAGGGAGGAGCGCAAGCAGGCACAGTGGACAACTGCCCCTGCCCCTGTCAGTCTGGTGAGTCTTGGCACTGGGTCTCTTTAAAGAAACTGTACCTTCTTACTTCAGCTAGCTTCTCTTCCCCATTTCCAATTCCACGTGAGATCTAGCTTTGAAGTAGGACCAGTCCCACTGCCAACCTTGTAATTCTTCTCAGGCATCTTAGGTCCTGGACCTCATGTCCTCTGCCAGCCAGGCATCCAGCCATAGAACGTCTGAACGCTCCTTACCCTATCTGGGGGCCCATTATGACCTTGAGACCGCTTTCCTGGCTTGACTTCACTTTTATAACGGAAAAGGACAATCATGGCATCTTAGCTGAACTCGTCTATTTATAGGTGAGGAAATGAGAGCTGAAGAAGAAACGTGACTTGCCCAGGAGCCACGTGGCTTAATTAGCATAGGGCTGCACCAGGAATGAGCCTTTAGCATCCCAGCCAGTATCTTTCCACCCCAGCATTTCCTCCTGAGAGAAACCTTGGACCAATGAGCAGCACCTGTCATCCCCCTCTTCCTCAGATGTGCAATACCAGCAATCTACTTCCTGTGACCATGGGTGTGTCTATTCTGGACATTTTACATAAGTTCATTTGTATACTCTGTGGTCTTTAAGTCTGTCTTCTTTCACTTAGCATGATGTCTTTGGGGGTTCATCCACATTGTGGCATGTATCGGGACTTCATTCCTTTTCATGGCTGAGCTATGTTCATCAGTAGCTGAGTCTTCGAGTTGTTTCCATGTTTTGGTTGCTATAAACAGTGCTACTGTAAATATTCACATATAAATTTTTATGCAAATATGTTTTCATGCCTCTGGGGCAGATACCCAGGGGTGGCACAACTAAGTCACATGGTAGCCCAGTCCATGTAGATCTAACATCTGAAGAGCTGTCGGATGGCTTTCCACAGCGACGGAACCACTCGCATACACAACCCGCCTCTGACAGCAGTGCGAGACTTCCTGATTTCTGCATCCTCACCCCTGCTTCTTCCTGCCAGCCTTTTATCCTGGTCCTTGGGGGAGCCGTGGAGCACTATTGTACTGTGGTTTTCATTTGCATTTCCTTCATTGCTAATGATGCTGAGGAAATTGTTCTATGTTTACAGACCACCTAGACAGGTTTTTAAGAATTGTCTATTCTGTGAGATGGCTCACAGTTAAGAGTGCTGGTTCTTTTTCTAGAGGACCCAGGTTCAATTCCCAGTGCCCTCATAGTGGCTCACAAGTGTCTGTAAGTCCAGTCCCAAGGGGTCCCCTTCTAGTCTCTGAGGGCATCATGTATAAAAGTGGGGAATTTACATACATGCTGACAAAACACACATATAATAAAATAATAATAATAAATGTCTATTCAAATTCCTTGCACATTTTGGTATTAAGTCTTTGACTGGATTTTGCATTTTCCTCACGTTCAAAAAATATACCAGTACACACACACACACACACACACACACACACACACTTTCATATGCTTCCCAGTTTACCCAGGTTCTGTTACTCTTTGTTCCTACCCAGTCTATAATTTCTAGAGCTAACGGATCCTGTAATCATAGAATTAGACCCGTAGAAGAGCAGACAAACATCTGATGTAATGGCTTCACGCAGAAGAACTCTGCAAATGTTTCCTGGTTGCGGGGAGCAGATGGATACGGAGTGTTCAGCAAGATCATAGCCTTTGAAGAGAAAGAGTTAGCAGCCACAGATGGGGCCTGCCCTGCAAAACTCCCTGGCCACAGCAGACAGCTGTGAACTCAGCACCTTTTCAACTAAGTTTTGAGAAGGTTTCAGGATTCCCAACAGTGCACTCTGGTCAGCTGCTATCAATATATCAGAGCCATCGTGAGCAATAAGATTGATTTATCAGATTTGGAAACTGAAGGTCAGGGAGACTGTTAATACAGCATGGAAAACCTCAGCTGAGAGGCTGGGGAGAGGCTCGTGGGGACAGTGCTGGTTCTGTATGCATAAAGACTTGCTTGGATCCTTAGCACCCATGTGAAAACTGAACGCAGGTCCATAAGCCCAGATCTGGGGGAGGGGTACAGATAGGAGACTCCTGGGGCTTGACGGCCAGCCAATCTAGCCAATCAGTGCACTACAGGTTCAGAGCTAGACCCTGCCTCAAAGAGTAAGGCAGAGAGAGCAAGAGAGGAAGATACTTGATGTCAGCCTCTGGCCTCTACATACCTGCACACAGGTGAGAAGCACACTGGCATACACATGTGCACACACTTGCACACACCACACAGAAGTAAACAAACAAACCAATCCCAGGCTATCAGACTCAAAATCGTGAGCTCTCTCCATCATACCTACGCAAAGGTTTTGTGACACCCATACACAGTGATTCTGAAGCTATGGTCTTTGACATGGCCATGACAACTTCACAGCGGGCCTGTGATAGCTCTAACTGTTAATTTAACACAATCTGGAATGATCTGGGAAAAGAATCTCAATGAAGAATTGTCTACACTAGGTTGTACTCTCGGCATGCCTATAAGGCATTGTTTTAATTGAGTGACATGAAATAGGAAGACCCATCCTGAATGTGGGTGGCACTCTTTCATTGTCCTGAACTTTGTTAAGTGAATACAGCCAGCTTAGCATAAGCAAGCAATTGAGTGAGCGAGTGTGTTCATTTCTCTCCGCTCTTGACTGTGGCTGCGATATGACAAGCCATTTTCAGGATGCCCCTGCTGTTATGGACTGTAACCCGGAACTGTGAGCTAAAGTTAAACTCTTTTCTCCCCTTAAATGGCTTTTTGTCAGACTATTTAATCATAGCAGCACAAACAGAACCAGGACAGGACCCTTCACGCAAAGGGGAGGGCAAGTCTGTAGCTGAGTGCATGGCTCTCCTCTTCGTGCCTTGGCCCATTCCTCCCGCTCACCTTCTCCTTCATCTTCTCAATCTTCTTCACAGAGCTGCGGCGCTGGGGCCGGTCCTCGTGCCGGAGAAGGTTCATGCTGAGGTCTCCTGATTTGTTGAACTGTTTCTCCTCCTGCTTCTCAGCCTCCTTCAGCTTGCTTTCCGCACTGATGCTCTCCGCGTGGTACATGTGGTAAGTTTTCATGACCTGGGGACACATGCGTACAAGAAACCAGTAGCCTGTTATGGCTCTGCACGGTACATCCTATGGTCCCTGGGCCCCACTTCAGACTCCACATAGCTTAGCTGCTTTACTTCTGCTCAAACTTCCTGAGGGCTGGAGATGAAGATGCTCCTCAGGAACACTGACTTTATCACAAGTGACATCAACATCACTCTCTTCTTCATTATCATCATCCACATCATCAAGTTCCTGCTAAGTGTCAAGCACGAGCTAATAAACAGAAAATGAAGAAGAGCCACCACAGCCCACAGGCGGCATGGCAAGCTGGGCCCTCGTTGGCTGTCATCTCTAGTCCTGCTAGGTGTAACCCTTCTATCCTTCCTCCTCATCTCTACCCCCAAGTCAGTGGGAAAGCCCTTAAAATGGGCTTTGCAAACTGCCTTGTTACGTAACCTAATAGATACTCTGTGGTCCCTGGAACACACTCAACCGTGGCTATACAAAGAATCCCAACAAAGCAAATTGCACTCTGCCACTCGTCTCCTATAACAAAACAGGATATGATTATAACAGGGGGAATTCTGAGCCCCAAGTTTCATCCTGAAACTGTTCTAAACTTGCCAAGTGTCCTATGAATGAGAAGTGAAGCTAGCGTTTCCTCTCTGATCTTGATGGAGGCTTCTCTGCAGCCCACCCGCATGGCTCACTTGCAATTTACCCCAAAGCCACAAGAACCCACTTCTCGCTGATTTCATCCATTCTAGGATGCCGGTTCTGGTAAACTCTTGCAAACCCCCACAGCCCATAAAGAGTTCTTACTGGTACATGCTTGACATCTAGTGGCCAGAAGGAACGACTGCAGCCTTAGCAGGTGAGCACAGAGGTCCTGTTGTTCCCAAGGGTCTTTAGGCCATAACTGATGCAGAGAGCATGTAGTCAAGAACTGGAAATACCTACTTTGGTCTTCTCGGGACCTGGGATGCTCCCCCATCCCTCTACACTCAGAGGCACTCAGCTCTGCGGTTTTGCTGGCATGTTGCTAACTGCTGTCTGGATCTAGACACACACACCCTCCTGGGATTAGGGGTGATTGCTACATCGACTTCTCTACTTCAGCTCATCTCAGCAGCAGCCTATCATCTGTAGCAGGCAGTTCATACGGGTGGTGGGGGAAGCCTTTCTCTGTATGCCTGCATCAGTGATTCTCAACCTGTGGGTCGGGACCCCTTTAAACAACCCTTTCACAGGATTCACCCAAGACCATCAGAAAACACAGACATTTACATTTTGATTCATAACAGTAGCAAAATTACCGTTAAGATGTAGCAATGAAAATAATTTTATGGTTGGGTCACCGCCACATGAGGAACTGTATTGAATGGTAGAGAAGCACCGCCTAGATCATCTGCTCAATCGTTCACGTGTGTATCTGTCCAGTGCTGCAGGGTGAAGTCCCAGCAGGGTGCTCCCACCGTTTTCCTCTGCCCTCAGTATCCCCGCCCCCATCGCCTAATTTCCTTTCACTTCTCTTGAACCACACAGTGTTCCTGGATTGTCCTAAAGTTCCCATGCAGGAAGAATAGAGTCCCGAGAACCTGGGGCCCAGCTGATCCCATTGAATCCTGACCCCAAAGATAATAGGGAATTCATTTGTACAGGTGACATGTCAGACAGCTGCTACTGCAGAACTTATTTGCAGACCACTCTGAAACAAGTTTATTTACACTGGAACCATCAATTGTTGCCTTTACTTAACTACAGTTATCCTTTGGTATTCATGAAGGACTGGTTCTCAGAAATTCCCCCACAGATGCCAAAATCTGCAAATGCTCACCTCTTACATAAAACTGTGTAAAGCCTGAGTCTGTCCTTCTGTAGACTTTATGTCACTTGTAATAAATGTTATATAATAGATGCCATACTGTGCTGAGAATAATTATAAGGACAAAGTCTGTCCATTCTTAGTATAGACATTTTTTTTTCGGAATACTCCCTGAAGTTTCCTGAATATTTCTGCAGATGCCGAACTGACCGATACCCAGAGCCAACTGGACTGAAACACTGGCTTCATTGGGGAAAGGCTTCAGTTTAATAGCCTAGAGAGCCTGCCTGATGTTGCCAATTCAGGATTGTTAAGTCATATTTAAGTTTATCTGGTACTTCTGAGTTTACAAACATCTTCCAGTTATCTGCTTTGATGGAAGGAGCATTTCAAACCATCCTCAGCCCACTCTAGGAGGCAGTGTGATATCAATTAAAAGGGCAACAGCAGTTAAGATTTACTGAGCACTTCCTACAGACTGAGCCTTTTCTAAGCTCTGCACACACCACACTATCTGTTTCTCACAAAAACCCATGGAGTTAAGGCTCCAAGCCAAGATGGCTGACTTCCTGTGGGAGTCTAATGGGCACAAGTTTGCGGCTCCCTCTTAGTACATCTTCCTCTATCATACAAAGGGATGACAGGAGCCTAAAGCTCACAGGGATTCAGAAGAACTTAGAGTCTCAACCATGCTGCTACACCCAAGACGTCTACAGATAGGACGTGTGTCTTCATGCCTTCCTGGTGATGTCCAGACAGGGGCAGGCATAGGTACTTTAGATATAGAAGCGCAAAGTGACTGGCCTTGGCAGCCATACACTAGGACAGGGCGCGCGCACGCGCGCGCGTGTGTGTGTGTGTGTGTGTGTGTGTGTGTGTGTGTGTGTGTGTTATCCAGAGGGCTCCATCCCACATGATACCTAGCACAGTGGTTCTAGAGAACAGCCTCAAAGGGACACATAAGCTGGGACACCTGGGACACTATCTTGGACTCGTGTGTTCTCAGAATGCAAGACTGAGGGGGTCCTCTAGGGATCTTGGTGTAGTAATCCCTTATTCAAAGAAACTGAGACTGGAGGCTGGGTCTTTTGATCCCTAGGCCTGGCCTTTTTTGCTGTCTTTTGCTATATTCACATGCCTTTCCCAGTTTCCCAGACGCCCAGAACATGAAGGAAGGATGGTGGAGATCTATTAGACCCTCATTTAAATGCAAACTATAACAGAGAACTTGGAAGTCAATAGCATCCATAAGGGGGCATGCTTTATAAGACATCAAGAGGATCAGTTGCTAGGAAACATTTTCTCACAGATGCAGTCGAGCTGTGCCTTGATCCTCGGGTAGGGCCAACCTAGGAACATGGACGTCTGCCCACAACCCCTAGGCTAAGCTGTTTCAAAGACATCCAAGAAAGAAGGGACGTTCTACAATGTGTTTGACCTTCCACTGAAGTGACTTATGATCTCTATAGAACTTGATCTCTATGTCCACTTGTTCATTTTTCCTGTCCAGAGACTCTCTGTCCCAACTAGAATGTGAAGTCCTGAGGTAGGCCCTTGCCTCAGGCACTAAATCATGGCAGACTGCCATCAGCTGCCACTGTATTTTTGTATGCATGCATGATGTGTAGATGGATAAGGCTGAATGGACGGGTGGGTGGAAGGGAGGATGGAGGGATGCATGGGTGGGAGGTGGAAGGGAGAGGGATAAAAGAGAGGAGAAAGGAGGGAAGGAAGGTAAAATGGGTACTATACAGTTAGTTCTTCTCTTTTTGATCTGATGACACTATTTGCGGATAAGGAGAAGTTATATCCTTTGTCATTAAATCCCAATTAGATACTTCTTATGTAGCTATTACTATATTAGACACTATACCAGGAAGTACTGCAGAGTATAAGACATAAAGAGTCTAAGAGCGTATGGACTATGGTGGGAACATGAACAATGATACTTGCTACTATCAGAGAATCACAGGACGTGGTAAGAGCTGTGACGTAGGGAGTGTGGGCACTACAGGAGTCCTTCCTGGGAAGTGATAGCTAAACCAAGCCTTGAAGAAGGAGTCGCTGTTATCTGTATGAACAGGGCTCAGGGCACAGATGAGTGTTTTAGACAGGAGACATTAGCCCAAGAGAAGCTGACCAGGGCTGAGGATTAGCTGACGTATAGAAAAATGCCAGGTGACTGGTCGTCAGCGCCCCTGCCTTCCCCTTCCCCTCCTCGCCCAGCTGTCCCCACAGTGCACATCTGTTGTTTGTCTCTGCCTGGGATCACCTAGTCCTCCTCCAAGAGCAGTTTCCTGATTTTATTCGAGGAAACCCCCAAAATTCCCCTCCATTATTCTCAGTTCCATGGAGTTCATGGGAAACTGACATGACCTCCAATCCTGGCAGTGGCCATGAGACCCAGGCCTGGACAACTGGCAAACATTATTTCAATCCGTTCATAATGATGGGGCTAACAATGTAAGCCAGACCAATTGGATGGTACCCTGCGGACCGTATTTGAAATACTGAGAAGTGCATGGCACTGTGGTATCAGGAGGAGGGTAGGAGCTCAAGAGGGGGAAACTTGGTAGGAGAAGCTCACACAGAGGAAAAGGAAACGAAAAGGAGCTACATGCTGGCTCCCAAATAAGGAAAGAAGGAAGGAAGGAAGGATGGATGAGTGGATAAATGGGTAGATAGATGGATGCACAATGAATGGGTAGATTACAGAGGATGGATGGATGGATGGATGGATGGATGGATGGGAAAAGATAAGGAAGGAGAGGAAGAAGGAAGGAAAAAGGAAGGAAGGAAGGAAAAAAGGAAGGAAGGAAGGAAGGAAGGAAGGAAGGAAGGAAGGAAGGAAGGAAGGAAGGAAGAAAGGGAGGGAGGGAGGGAGGGAGGAAGGAAGTCAAGTTCTCCTGCCTTAGAGCTAGTGAGCATACTGGAGAGGAAGGAGAGCTATACTTCACTGCGATTAAATATTTACCAAGTAGCTGTGTGCTAGGATTACACCTAATGTCCTCAAAATATAGTATAGGTGACAGAGAAAGCCTCTGTTCTCAAAGTACACACTGTATTGGTGAGTTGGTCATGAAATGACAGGCGAGTCCCTGCCTGGGTTCAGATATGCCTGAGCCACCAACAGATTGGCACGTTCACATAATTGGTGATGTGGTGTGACTGGGTTCTCAAAACTTGTTTAGAACATCAGTCC